CCAGAACACCCAACAGAGAATTGTCCCACATTACTTTTATGTTTTGGGATAGTCAGATTCCCCTTTGTTTGAGCCCTTGTCATGTGATAATGCTGAACATATAAAAAATATTGGGGAATTGTTAAAGGAAATCTGCGGTTAATGCTGTCATAAACAAATAAAAGTAATTGAAATTCATATTGTTTATAAATGTTAAGGATTGCCAATTCTGTAAATAGTGATGATGTGTGTGCTAATCTGTCTGAATGTGTTATAGTGCATACAATTCTTTTTTGAGTATTAAAGGTATATTGGTTTTAAGTGTGCCATATATGTACTTCCCCAGACCTCAAGTGCATATGAAATGTGTGGCAAGACAAAACAATATAACAATAACAAAATTGAAGGAGGAATAAAATGCTTTAATTTGTAAAGCAAGCCTGCCTTAAAGCTAATACTTGTATTTACCTTATTAATATGTTCTTTCCCTGTCAGATTTTTGTCAAGAGTTACCCCAATGTATTCTGTAGATTCTGCTTCATAAATTTGTGCTCATTTTATACAAATTGCACCATTTGGTTGGACCACAGTGTGCTTACCACGAAAAATAATATACTTATTGTAGTTTTATTTTCAAGAGTTTATTGTTAATTTGTTTAAATCACACCAGTCTACAATGTGTTTTAATTGTTCATTTACAGAATTTAGGTCAATATTATCATTTGTATTAAAGGTATGAAATAAGCTGGTATCATCTACAAAAAGGTGAGTTTCAAAGTAATTAGTAGTACTTGCAATATCATTTACATATAAGAAACAACATAGGGCCTAACAGACCCTAAGTTCATTTGATTCAATCCCATTTATACTAACAAACTGTTTCCTATTATTTTAATAATCTTAGAATAAAGCCAAAGGTAATCGCCGTATTCCGTATGAATTTAACTTACTTATTAAAATGTCATGGTTCACCGTATCAAATGCTTTTTTAAAGTCTAAAAACATTCCAAAAACTAGGTTGCCATTATCTATGTCCTCCGACAAATTCTGTGTTAAATCCGTAATAGCAAGTTTTGTACTATATTTTTCTCTAAAACCATATTGACGAGGATATAATAAATCAAATCGGTTTAAGTTGTTTATTGATTATTTTTTCAAAGACTTTTTGAATTGAGGTAAGACGGAGATTGGCCTATAATTTCCTGGGTCAGACGATGATCCTTTTTTGAAAATGGGAATAACCTTTGCCTTTTTTTTAGTGCATTTGGGAAGAATCCTGTAGAAAATGATAAATTAATTATATATGTAAGTGGTATAGAGATGTAATTTGCAGCTAGAATTATTAATTTGGGACTAATTTGGTCCACACCAACTGCTTTATTTTTATCTAATCCTATTAAAATATCTGTAACTACTTCTTCAGTTGTACCATGAAGAAATAAAGAATTTGGATGGGTATTAGGTAAGTATACCATGTGGTTTTCAATAGGCCTATCACTGATATCTCTTTCAAAATTCTTGCTAATTGAAACAAAGTAGTTATTAAAACAATTAATTATGTCTGACTGACTATTAAATTTACATACATTACCGCTTTCAGACTGGACTTCCAAATGACTAGGTAATTTTATTTCCTTTTTTCCTCTGCCTAACATGTCATTGACAATTTTCCATGTTTTATTCATATTTGAACAATGGTTTTCAAATTTTTCTGAAAAAAATCGTTGTTTAGTTTCTCTCAAAGTATTAGTAAGTTTTTTATTACTATTTTTTTTACTATTTCGTCCGTGTTTTCATTTGCGATTTGTGGCATGCTTTGATTCTCAAGATTTTCTCTTCTACTATAAACACGTTATATTTTCATTGCGGATTTTTTGGGCTCAGTACGGACTCTAAACGTATGCATTTTCTTTTAGTTTTAAGGCGTATGTGGATTTTATAAGTCCGACTTATGTTATAACATGTTTATACTGATTTTGCTCATCTAGATCGCTTTCCATTTCATATACTCTTTTCTTCAATTCATCATTATCTGCTCAGTATCTTTCATTCTCCCACACATTTCTTCGACTAGTGAATTGAAATAATTCATAGACTCTGACATGGATTTCTGAAAATCTTTAATTTCCTTCATATTTTCCAAAAGACTTGGTAGATTCTTAACTTTGTCTTTAATATTATTAAGCTGCACTTGCATTGCAGCCTCCGGTGCAGGCTCCTCCAAGTGTTTTCCTCTAGACATGTTTGGTTAGGTATTTATTGGTTAACACCTGAGTGACTTGCCTGTGTTGTGTGTGGTTGCAATTCTGAGCCTGCTGTCCTTCACAGAGTCAACACAACGTCAAAATAAAATCTACAAAATTCGTTCTTCAGAATGACCATCAAGTACCATTCATACGACATGTACCCATAAAAATGAATCAATAACACACTTGGAGCAAAATTGAAAGTGAAAAGTAGATAAAAATGTAAGAAATAAGATGATTTTCAGGACCTAAATTCCTATAAAACATGAAAGAAACAACAGCGCCCTCAAATCCATTGTAGTGTAAAACTACAATACCCCATCATTACCGTAATCACTTTCTGCTAATATTATGTTATTAATTAAAACAACAACTACAACTGGCACCACATTACATCCAAACCTCATATGGAGAAATGGAACA